TGGTGAGATGGCTGGTAAAAGTGCTTTCTGAGAAATCTCAAGAAAAGGCAGAAAGAATTTATACACGTCTTTAATCCCAGCACTCAGGAGGCAGAGGCAGTGAATCTCTGTGAGTTTAAGGCCAACCTGGTCTACACAGTGAGTTCCAGGACAGCTAGGACTACACAGAGAGACCTCAAAAAAATTGTCCTCTGAATTCCACATGAGACATGTGTGCATCTCTCTCTCTCTCTCTCTCTCTCTCTCACACACACACACACACACACACACACACACATACATACACACACACACACACACCACTCCTAAATAACTAAGTAAATATTCACTTAAAACACCCTAGCGGTTTGGAATTTAAAACAAATGTCAACAAAAGTGGGGGATTCAGGGAATTCAGAGTTTGATGCCCAGAACCCAGAAGGTGGGTGAACTGACTCTCTCTCTCTCAGGTTGTCCTGTCTGACTGCCACATGCCCGCTGTGTCATGTGTGTGACCACGTACAGACACACCCTAAATTCATAAACAGAAGATGGGGGGCAGGGGCGGTCTTGGACCACATCTGTGGAGCATAAGCAAACGCTGGACACAGCCTGGGAACGTGCCCCCCTCCCACTAGCCCCAAAGGCTGTGGAGAGGCTTGGGGCCAGCCTGCAGGCAGGAGAAAACGGGGCAGAGCCGACAGCAGCTGGGCCTCACCCAAACCCTCACAGGAGCTGCTCAGCACGTGTTGACCGAAGGAAAATGTAAAGAGAATTACCCCAGGGTGGGACAAAGGATTAGGGGACGTGGCAGAGATGGCATGTTGCCAGGCGGCTTATCACACGCGCACCTCTCTGAATGCCGCTCACGCAGGGCCAGGCAGATTTCAGAAGCGCCTTGGAGACAGGCAAGGCAGGGAGAGGCTCGGAGTCTCGAGCTTACCACATACATACACTGGGACACAGGGAGGAAAAAGGGTACTGAGGGTGTGGATGGGCGCGCACAGGCCATAGAGCTGGGCGTGAAAGCCACAAGGCAGGAGCTGCAGGGACCCTTTTCCTGTCTGTCTGTCCATCTCTGTCTCTCTCTCTCACACACACAACAATTGCTTCCCAATGAGTGCCTCCTGAAGAGCCACGGAATGAAAAAAAAAAACTTCCCAACCAATGTCAGTGCCCCCAAAGCCGAAGGGTAGCAATGGCTGCACAGGAGGAGAGCAGTAGCCTGACCCCACAGTCCACCCCTGAGGGGACTTGAGCAAGGTCTGGAGTGGGGGTGGGGCGGTGGTCGATGCAAAGAGCTTGCAGACTCACACGAGGGACTGGGCAATCACAACTCAATTGAAGCTCATCAGTGTTGGAGCAAGTGACACAGAACCCTGACCTGGGGCAGAGCCGCAGGAGACAGGGAGGAGGCAGGAGCGAGAGGCAGCCACACCACCTCGTGAGAACACGGCAGAGAGGGCTGGCTGAGTGAGTGCAGGGCCGAGTCCTCCGTGTCTGTCCGTGTCCTGGAAGGAGTCCTGGCACCAGTCCTGCTGGAGCCAGACACAGGAGAGGCCCAGCATCGCACCACCGAGGCAGCATACACGCGTTACACGCCACCCGTGTCCACAGTCACATCACAACCCTGACACTTGGGCGCTGTGTGCCACCCTGCACCTCCCTCGCCGCTGAGGTTCCACCCCACACATCACTAACTCCCACAGTACAAGACTCAACCACACCACACTGAGGGGATTCACACACCACTGTGGGAGTGCCGGTGATGCTGGATAAGGACGGGGAATCCAGACCCAAGGAAGCACACACACACATGGACATGAACACACAAGCACAAGCTCACATGCACGCACACACACAATCAACCTTTCACTTCCCTGGAGCTCTGTCATCTAGACAAGCTCAGGGCCTGTCTCCATTCTCCTGAGGCCGGGGACTTTCTGCCTCTGTCGTGTTGTCATTTAGACAGAGGGTGGTTGGTGGGCCCGGCTTATTTTCCAGCCCCTAAATCAGTCGGGGCTGCATCATGGAGGGAATGGATGAGCCAGTTTTTTTAGCACACAGGAGGAAGAGAGGCCTAAGAGTGCTTCCAGGCTGTGCAGATTATAAAAACAGAGGGGGTGGGGGGAGGCCTGCACATCTGGAAGAATCAAGAGGGAGGAGGGAGACCTGGAAACCGGCAGGAAGTGGGCAAGTGAAGCCCCCCGTAACCCACCCCGACACACACACACACACACACACACACACACACACACAGTCTCCAAGTGCTGACTCCAGAGACTGGGCAGCTCCCTGGAGGTAGGGAGAGGACGGAAGAGTAGATTCGGACCTCTGTCCGTCCCTTGCCCTCTCTCACGCACAGCTGGGTGGCAGCAGCTGCTCCACTGTTAGTGTTTTTGGAAGGAAAAGGAAACAACCTCCCCCTCCCCCAGCCAATGGTCGTGACCCCCAGAGCCCCCAGAGCCAGAGCTTGGAGAGAGGGAAGGCGGCACCAAAGGGCAGGGGCATTGAAGAGCTTTGCAGAAACCCAGGCCTGCAGGGCAGGAGACAAGATGGAGCTGCGCCCATCCATCAAAGACCAGCAGATACCAGAGCCACATGGCTTTGTCTGTGGAATGAATGAATGAATGAATGAATGAATGAATGAATGAATGAATGAATGAGAAAGAGACAGGGCAAAAGAGTGAGGGCCTAAGAAATAGTCAGAGAGGTGCCACTCACACACATACATACACTACCTACCTTAGGTACGGGACAAACAAACAAGAGAATGGGTAACACGGGACTCTTCGTGCAAGGCAGGGTTTCTCTGTGTAGCCCAGGTTGTCCTGAAACTCACTGTGAGTTTGGGAGAGCAGGGGTGTGGGTACCTGGGAGGGGTTGGAAGTAGAAAAGGGGAGGCAATAGTGTAATTACAATTTCAAAAACTATCACAGAAAAGAAAAGGAAGCCACTGGCAGAGGTGGCCTGCGGAGAGACAGATGGACACCGGGACCCGTGGCGCCTCCCAGGGGAACAGGAGGGTGCACACCAGGCACGCTGATCCAAATCCAGTCTCCACAGCACCTTCCCACAGAGACCGTCTGTCTGTCCCTGTCAGGGTCTCTTTCTCTGCCAACCACAGTTTGGACTCCACAGGAGAAAAATGGGAAAGAAAACAGACAAGAAGAGACACTGTGTGTGTGTGTGTGTGCGCGCGCGCCCTCTGGAGAATTCCCAGAGGAAGGAAGGAAGGGAGCAGAGGACAGGTGAAAAGCTAGATGGAGCAGCAAGGGAACATCAGGTCATGTGGCAGCACGTGCACTCCAGGGCAGACACCCCCTCCTCACCGTTACACACACACTACACTACCCCCATGCCCCGCACAAAACATATACACCCCAAAACCACATGTAACCTAAGGACATCCCCACACCGCACATAACACACACCAGACACCCCCATGCAACACCCTTCCACCTCACACACCCACGCATACCCCCACATCACGCCCTCCCTTACAACCCATACACACCCTAGATCCTACACCCACAACACCCGGCAGGTGCACCCCCCAGAGGAAGGCAGGAGCACAATGGCCGGATACGGAGGGCTGGCAGGCGGGCCGTGAGCCGTTACCACGATACCCCGTGAGCACACTTGCAGCGGATGTGGCAGTGCCGAGCCCAGGCTGGACCTCTGTTCCGAGTTTTTCTCCAGCCAGCAGCTCAACTGTGAGCCACGGGACAGAGACAAAGAGATCCAAGAGACAAGAAGGGTGAGCAGCCAGGCATTGCACACACCCCGGGGAGATGCCCTGTCCACTGGGCACGAGGGGCAGAGGAGTCTGGAATACAAGTGATACAAGTGATTTTGTTTGTTTTGTTATTTGTGCTTTTCTCAACTGTCCCACTCTGCAAGAAGGAACTTCAATTATTCCTGCTACAAGGAAGCCTTTTCCTGGAAGAAAAACATCCTCGACAGAAAGGGTCCTGGGGCCTCACACCCGGAGGCAGGCCAGTGAAGCAGCTGGAGGTCCAGGCCAAGCCATGGCTCCCTCTGCTGTCTGCACCTGTCCCTGTCTCCCTCAGGTGCACAGCCCCTAAAGGCACTGGTGGGGAGAAAGAGAAGAGGCCACTGCCTCTCTCTCCTGCACAGACATCACCCCATGGGCTGGGGCTGGGCAGGGAAGGGGGCATCTGGTCCGGCGGATGGAGCTTGGTGAACAGCCATGATGGCCCCGGAAGATTCCAGGGCTCAGAGAAGACTCCCCGGGTGCTCTGTGGCCTCCGAAGGTTGAATCAGGAGTTTCCAGCTTGTAAGAGGAAAGAGATTTTCAGAGTAGAAGACGCCCAGGCCCAGAGTGGGAAGCTGGAATGTGCAGAGGGTGACAGGGAGGAAAGACTGACAGGGAAAGGGAACGCTAGAGAGAGCGCTGCATGCAGGTGGATGTGAACACCTAGATCTGTGTGCATGTGGCCACGGCTCACCTGGGCCTTTCTCTCTCTCACACAGAGCCTTTGAGATCACCCCGGAAAGAACACATTCCACACAAGTGAGGCGGCTCTGCCCATCCTGCCAGCTGTCCACATCTCACGAGCATCCTTGGCTTAACCGGTGCTTCCCCCAGATCCTCAGATAAGTACAGACGTGCGTCTGCTCTCTCTGATCATCACTCCCCAGCAGGAAGCACCATCTGCGGGGCCTAAGGCCCACAACTGCTATCTTCCCTCACACCCGGGACGCTTCTTACCTTCCTGCACACAGTAGATGGTAAATAAATGGCAGCCCAAACTGAGGTCTGTTTGTGTTTAATCAGACAGTATGCAAAGTATGTACAACCAGTTCTGGGTCCTCCCTCCCGCCCCAAGCCTGGGCCGTGGAATGTGGGATCCCCATGCCCTGCCCAGAGCTGGGGTCCCCAAGGCCTCTGCATAGTCATCTGAAATCTACAAAATACTGTAAGAAAGAAAGAAAGAAAGAAAGAAAGAAAGAAAGAAAGAAAGAAAGAAAGAAAGAAAGA